CAATAGCCCTGGAGCAATCGAGCTCCTCACCAACTCTAGTCAAATCTCACACAACCATCCCATACTCGACCACATAAATACATTAAAATATAGATATGCACGTATACAAAATGATTGAAACCATAATACCATGCTCATTACTTGTCACATTATCATAAAGGAAATTGCACTAACCGTGCCTTCTTCTTGCCACCATCGTATATCTCATACCTTCCGCCTCAACATATATGGCATGCTTACAGTTAACATAAACACTTCATTCACATGTATTGACAATTTAAACACGTATGCACTTAGCAAATAGGCATGTCTTTCAAGACAATAAACACTTAAACAGGTAACAAGTAAGCATGCTTCTTAAACAGTTAAGCACTTTAACACGTAGGCACACAAACGATGCAAGTCAACTCTCTACCCCTTCTAGGTATGCCACTACCCGTCGTCCGAAAGGTATTCGAACCTAAAGCTCTGATACCAAATTTATAATGACTCGAACCCGAGGTCACCTAGGTTAAACTCGTCATTCTTGGCACCAAGACATCTCCTTAAGGGTCATCACTAGGCTTTCCCAAAGGTTCAAAACAATTCCCCAAGGGTCGAGAGTAGGATAACATGAAAGAAAGAGCAAGGTAAATCAAACAGGTGCACTTCGGTGGACCGAAGTGGAGCTTCGGTCGGCTGAAGCAAACCCTTCCAAACCGGTCGACCGAAACCCCCTTTCGGTCGACCGAAAGAAGAGATCCTGAGAGCAAGAAGGAGGTTTGGTCGATCGAAACCCCACTTTGGTCAGCCGAAAAGAGAGATCCCGAGAGCTTACAGGAGAATTGGTCGACCGATGCCCCATTTCGGTCGACCGAAATGGCTCTGTCAAGTCCTAAAGCTGAAACTGAATAGCTGTACTTGTGGAGCTAGAGAGGAACTAGGATGGAGACTTTAAAATAATCCAAAGCTTGTCTCAAACATTCAGAAAATGTATCATACTTTAATCATGGACAATAATACCAACCCTTGATCCTATTACGACATCATTTGATTCAATTACATGGAGTTTATACATAATCTTTATATTTGACTTAATTTACAACAAAATGTAATATAGGTGCATAGTAAATTTATAAAGGGCAAGACAGCTAGCTTAAATACATTTCTCAAATAGAGCTTTTACAAACGAATGGCCTATTTACAAAAGTAACAAAATGATCTTCTAGCAACCCTCAAGCTTGCGGTGGATTGTCATCCGCCACTTCCTTTCCATGACCTGAAAAATGTTAAGTATGTGGGGTGAGCAAATAGCTCAGTAGGTGGCACCTAAGACACGCCTTTTGTCTCCCCGTGAACCCAAATAAAGAATAGAACTATAGGGAGCGGGGTCATACCATGTAGGGAAATCACAACATAATAACCAATCTCAATATAAGCAACTTAATGCTATGGAATGCAATGCATGCCAATGTCGCTCCCCATTTTTAACATTCAAAACCATCACTTCCAAACTGTTAATATAACCCGCCCTTTGGTGACCCCGCAGCGACACGAGAGAAGGATTAGCTAGTGTCCCTGACCCTTAGTACCCCCGCGGCGTCATTTTGGGCCCAACTAGCTCAACTACGCTAGGGCAATCTCCCTAGTTCCCTCTAGGCTATATTAACACTCCGGCCCTTTGGTACCCTCGCGGCGACCGGGTTTTTCATAAAACACTTTAATCAAAACTTCTTTCCCAAAATTCCCTTTTTTATTTCAAAACAATTCCCTTCATGCAAACCCAATGATGTGGGTAAATATGTCCCATGCTTTCAATGTCATGGAATTTAGGGATTTACACCACACAATTAAGCATGCTTCATATTCATCATCTCTAATAAATTATCAACACAATAAACATAGCATATCAACATCTAAGTATGCTTTTCACACAAAACAACTCATATACATCATCATGAATTCCATAAACAACATTTACATCATCTTCAAGGCAATCAATTAGAAATTAAACATACTTTGACAACTAATAAGAGATGACTCATAAAGGAGCAAGAAAAAACATGAATTTGGAACCCCTACCTCAAATTGATGCAAAACTCTCAAAATGGGTCTAGAATTTTGGAATTTCTAGGGAGCACCAAAACTAAAATTGCTGGTATGGATTCGAAGGCCTCGTCGTGGGCTTCGACTGGCCGCAAACGGCTTCCAAAAACTCTAAGATTGAAGTAGAAATCTAGACTTGAAGTTTGGTACAAAATGAAAAAGAAAAAAAAATGAAGAAGAAAAGAGAGGAAGAGAGAGTTACGAGAGAGTGAGAGATATTTGAGAGACCAAGTGGTCTCTAGACCACAATTGCATTAGTGGTGGGCCCACCACTAACATTTCAAATTTTCCTTTTTTCTTTAACTTTCATTTTACACCACAACTTATACATATATGCATACAACCATGCAAATACCACATAAATCACATAAAATAAAATGCATGAAATGTAAATGGACCCAACTAAAATCCCCATGTGCAACTGTATCGGTAGCGGGTCCCACACGGGACCGTTCCGCCCGAAAAACGGAAAGATGCAAAAATGTCCAACCTTGCATTTCCAAGAGTCCTGAACTCAATGGAATGCCCCCAACAACTCACCAACACACCTGTTACATCCCACGATATCCGGTGCACAAAACGGTAGAAGACGAAAATGCCCTTGCAACAACAAAAATTTCAGAAAAATGAAAAATGGTAAAATTCAAAAACATCACAAAGAAGCTGAGTGACTTCGTAATTTCTTAGAAGATATTCCAAATTGGCCTAAACCTGTGCCCGCTATATGTATACATTGCGATAGTCAATCAGCAATTGGAAGGACACAAAGTAATATGTATAACAGTAAGTCTCGACATATACGTCGACGACATAATACCGTTAGACAATTACTCTCAAGTGGGATAATTTCAATAGATTATATTAGGTCAAAAGATAATTTAGCGGATCCGTTTACAAAAGGTTTGACATGAGAGTAAGTGTATAGTTCATCGAGGGGAATGGGATTAAAGCCGAAAACTAACAAGTCATCTTAATGGAAATCCAACCTAGTTGACTGGAGATCCCAAGATCTAGGTTCAAAGGGACAACAAAAATTCTGAATGGCTCACCAGAAGCACTGGGAAGATTTAATCTTCTACCTATTTCTACAATGAGACAGTGCTACCTACAGCGATGAGTAGGATAAACTATGCTTTTAATGATTCTTATATCTTGAAAATTCAAGTGGGGTATAGTAGGATACTCTTAATAAGAAGTCACCTGTATGAGTGTGAAGTGGGGCCACTTGCATGAGAACTTCTAAGGCTAAGTTTTCTAGAGCGCTTATGAAATACCAGGAGTTGTTCAGGGCCATATGAACAAAACCGTGAGAACCGATTTTGTGCGGGAAGGAATTGTGTGCTTGCTATTGTCTTGGTTTACATCAACGGCTGAACAGTTCAAGACATCATGTTCATTGGTTAGCCAGTAAATCTGATAATAATACACTAGGGAAGGTTCAAGGCCAAAAGTTACCTATCCCGATGTAGTTACTTTCTAATAGTACTCTCTCTAGTGTCTGTATCTTCTTCATTTGTAATATGCGCAAATTTTCATTCATGTGGGGGATTGTTGGAAACGGGGGCATTAAAAATATAAACTTTGGATGAGAATTGGAATAGATTCCGCTAAGAATTTTTTGCGGATCTATAGACCAGTGCGTTCCTCTCCGCAAGAAGATGAACATGGTATATTTACTTTCTCAAATCCGTTTCCGGGTGAATAAAAAATTAGATCCAAAGTAAGGTATTTGATAAGCCTAAATGGAAAAAATGTTGAAACTAATTGAAGTTTAATAAGTCAAGCTTGGGCTTGGATTTGGGCTTGGGCTTGGGCTTGGGCCTAATTGTAAAGTCCGGTTATTCTTTTTATTAAATAGAATTTTGGATTGGGCTTGTTTTTGGGCTTGGCTTATTTAAATGGGTTTCACAAATGGTTGGTTTTTGGGTGGTTGATTTTTTGAATTTAAATTAAAAAACCACTTTTTAGTTTTTTACAAAGGGTTGCACCTCTTTCCGAACCATCATAACCCATGGTTGCACGCACTCGAAAATGCACCTTGCTATCTATAAATACCCCATTCGGATCATTTGCAAATCACACCAAAATTCAGAGAATTCTTTTCTTCTTCTTCCTCCTTCTCTCTTTAGTCTGTGGGTTCGAGCATTAGTCACTCCGAGTCTGACTTCGAGTCAGAGAGTATTACACCGAGCTGGTTTGCCTATTCCTTTGGTTTGCAGTGCTACCATCGAAGGAAGATCAGTCGTTGTATCCTGGAAGATAGACGTCACTGAGTCCGTTAACACCATATCGGGGTGAATCTGTCTTAAGGACGTATAATTAAATTTTAGCCTCGACTTTTAATTAGGTTCATTTATAGTTTTATTTGATTATATTAAATTATATATTATAAGAAATTATATATTTGTAAATTATTATTTTAAACCATATTTTGGATAACATTAAGCTCGCGGAGTGGTCCGGGCTCGTTTTTAATTTCTTCTATATGATTTATACTTACGTGGCACTATAGTATCTATAATACAATCAGTATGTCTGTTGTCTTTTTAAACTTGTAAAATTCAATTTTGGTCTTACCATTGACTATAATTAACTGTCGAAATTATAGCCGTTTCAATTATCAAGCTAACGGTTTCATTCACATAGAGAGATAGATACATACAGTTCACTTTTTTGATTAGCAGAGCGTTTTAGAGAGAGAGAGAGAGACAGACAGAGACACACACAAAATGGGGCCGCAAAAACGTCTTCGGCACGATCTGCCGGCGTGTTTGAAGAAACGGCGATTGACATTGACTGATTCATCATCCGCGGTTGTTGAAAGCAGAACCCACTTCGGAGTGATTTTTTGCCTGTCAAATTCTCAATTTTCTCGCATCGGAGATGTAAATTCTTCGATGCGAGAAAATTGAGAATTTGACAGGCAAAAAACCACTCCGAAGTGGGTTCTGCTTTCAACAATCGCGGATGATGAATCAGTCAATGTCAATCGCCGTTTCTTCAAACACGCCGGCAGATCGTGCCGAAGACGTTTTTGCGGCCCCATTTTGTGTGTCTCTGTCTCTCTCTCTCTAAAACGCTCTGCTAATCAAAAAAGTGAACTGTATGAATCAGTCAATGTCAATCGCCGTTTAATTGGAAATGTTTTTTTTTTTTTTTTTTTGAGTTAATTTGGTTGTTTTGTGCAGATGTTGAGGGATTCACAAACCTTTTTCTTACGTCTGTCCGACCGCCGTCCGCCGGCCGGTGCACTACTTAGCGAGGTAACGAATTTACTGTTTAGGGTTTTTTTTATAATTAATTTTCTATTAATCTTCTATTAATTTTCTTTCTTGTTTTTTGTTTTTTTAGACTCTTCACGCGATTGAAGACACGATGCTTCTTAATGCATCCTCACCGCCCGCCGGCGGCGCCGGCGGCGGATCTTTTAGGCTTTGCTTTGCTCTACGTACCCTTTATCTTCCCCACATTTCAGAGGTAGTTTATTTTCCATTTTAGGGTTTTCTTTTGTTTATGCCCCAATTTGAATGATTAACTATATGCATAGCAATTAGACATATAGACTGTATAATCTAAAATGAGCACTGATAAAACACAAAGCAATTTGATTTTTAGCATAGAATGAAATCCTTTTCACTGTCTCCATAAACAATTATTTGGCACACACGCACGCATATGGATGTGCTTAGTAGTGCACCTCAAATATCTAAATTACATTTTTCTAAAAGCCCTACAGAGATATATACGTAATTTTACCCCTTAACATTTCATCTCCAACTAGGGTATCTGCACAGACTTCAAGTCCCAAAACGTGTATTTTAAAATGTTTGGTTGGTCTTAATTTTGGTGTGTGTTAGTTCTGTATGTAGAATTAGTTTTTTAGTATATTGAAGGGAATTACCATATTTGGTCTCTGTTAACTTTTAATTTGAAAAAGTCGGTGGTACTAGCAGAATATGACAATGATGTAAAAAATGATAGAATAACTCGTGTAAATTCAATTTCCAAATAAAACTGTTTACAAACATTGTTTTCTTATTTTTTGTGCAGTTGGTCAATTATTTGGGAGGTGAATTGGTTCAGTTGAGCACAACACATGCACCATCTGAATTTCAATTTTGGTATTGGATTGTTGTAAGTCCAAACACCGTATTATCTTTGACACGGATAATGCTTAATGTTGATTTAATGCTGGTATACTAAACAACAAGCACTTATCCTCAAATTGGAATTGCTGAGGTGGTCTCATACTTAATGCTGATTTTGGTTTTACTTTATTCGTGTTATAATGTGTTTAAAATAATTTTAATCTTTAATTGAGCAGATGGTTGCATTGACCATTGATATGTCTTTGCTGAGAATTGGCGGAGGACTGCCATCAGCCGGTCGCGGTGCATTTTCCCACGTAATTTATTTGTCCATTAATGGATTAGTTTGAGATGAAGTATTTTAAGATTTTTTTTTTCTTAATTATTTGAAATTTTAATTCAATTGAACTTTATATGATAGGTACAGTCAAACATTACACTTTCTGCTGATGATCCAGAGACTCCCCAAGAGGAGGGTACCCTAGATGTCCTCCAAAGAATGGAGGACTACTACCAGGTCAATTTCTCTTCCGTGACCAGTGAGCAAGAACCAGAGGAGGTTGAGCCAAGGGTACATTTAATTCAATTTTTATTTCTTAATTATTTGAACTTTTAATTCAATTGAACTTTATATGATAGGTACAGTCAGTCACACTTTGTGATGATCGAGAGACTCCCCAAGAGGAGGGTACCCTAGATGTCCTCCAAAGAATGGAGGACTACTACCAGGCCAGTGAGCAAGAATCAGTGGAGCTTGAGGAGCCAAGGGAACATGAGGTTAGGGTCGCAGTGCATTTTTTACTAAAATTTGAGATTAAGTTATTTAAGATATATATTTTTTTCTTATTTATTTGAAATTTTAAATTAATTGAAAATTTATATATAATTACAGTCGAGGGCTGACACTCTTGATGAAGCCATGCTGGAAACTACTGAGACTATGGAAGACCTTGCCAATTTCCCTGGCGCAACTGAGCTTTTGGAGAGTGCTGCGAGGCCTAGGGAACATGTGGTTAGATTAGTTACTGACCGTATGCCGGAACCGGGGGTAAACAGAAAGTGAACAAAAGGAACAATATTTTTTGTGAACTGAGCTTTTTTTGTTGTTGAGGATAACTACAACGGCTGGTGTTGTAGGCTTACTGGTTGTGCAATTATCGGATTATTGGTTTTAATAAAGACAGTTTTTGCTGAGGCTGTGCCATTAGTTGTTTCATTAATTTTGTCAATATAATTCAGGTTAGGGACTTTGCAATATTGAAGTCTGCTTTAGTTACAATGTGTGGTTTCTTGTTGTGCTGAGCATTAAATTTTGTATCTGGGAGTTAAGTGACACCAAATTCTCAACTTTCTCCACATCGATGGCTCCACAAAAACTCCTATTTTGAGACAGGTATGCCTCCACATTTTTGGCTTATACTATCTGAATTAATGTCAGTTCTAAAACATACAAGATGGTGATTCTAACAAGTTTTGTCATCGGTGATAACATGTATAATAAATTTGGTTTAAATTTTGATAGACTATTTTATACTAACTAATAAGTATAATTTTCTTTTGCAGCTAAAAACCACTCTTAGGTCTCCCTCAGAAACAATGGTGAAAGGCTAAGGAAAATAAAAAAAGAAAGCAGAAGTTAAAGAAAATAGTTCATAGGTAAAAGTTTTTGAATTCTTTACAGGTTCCCAAACATATTCTTATTGCTGTGTGGTAAATTGTTCTCTTTTCTTTAGCCAAAGAGAAAAGAAAAGAAAGAAAAAGCAATATTGTTTTCTTATAAGTTATAAGAGTCCTTTTAATTTTTGCCTTATTTTTTATTTTTTGTCACAGTTTTCCATTACAAGTTACAAACCAAACAAGACAAAAATAATGAAATACCATCAATTTCTTTTCTTTCCTTTTTGATTTCAGATTTTCTATGGATTCTCCAAAGAACTGCTTAATATCCAGTTTTTGTGAAACTTGCAGTGTTACAGAGGGAAATATTGATATCAGGCAAGTCACATTTTTAATGAAATATTAGATCACAAACATCAATAGCAAGATTTGTCAACTTCACTCAATTTTAAGGCATTTTGCAATATTAATTTTTGCATTAGTTAGCATCCCTAGAGTGAAGTGGGTGTCATTCACAATTGACATTATTGAGTAGGTAATTATCCTTATCATTCTAGTTAAATGTGACTATCTAAAAATTTTATACAAAAAACTATCATAAGAAATTAAGAATATGCTTGTACTGACTTTAGATGGTTGATGGCATTAATTCTCTCAATTTCACTCAATTTCTCTTACATGACTTATTAATATTCCTATTTATCATTATTCCAGCACAACAACTATTGCTTCTGACTGCATTCTTCTTCAAATCTTTGTCTTTGCTGTACTTGTGATTTTTACGTGAAAGAAGCTATGTTGATTTCAGCATCAGTTCTTTATTCCTGTATGTCTTCTAGCTACATCTATTCCAATTTAAACGGAGCTGTTCAAGTTGTCCATTTGCTGTGCCATGTTCCTGCAAGTCTTGGTTTACAGTCCATTTGCTGTGCTATGTTCCTGCAAGTCTTGATAATGTAAAATTGCTATATAAATGGATGTCATATGCACTGTGATTATTTTGGAGGCACAACAAGGTGCAGAAGGCATCAATGGTCTTTTTAGGTCTTGTAGGTACTCCATTAAGTTGTTGAAAGTTTTAGGCTATTGGCTTAAGTGTTTTGGCATCTGCTATCCACTTTCTGTGCAGTGTGTTGTGGGACTTGCGGCTTATTATGGCCTTTTGCTTGAAAGAGGACCTTGAAAGTACTTGATGCCTCATCTGTTTTGTGCATGTGTTAACAACCATCTACTCTAAAAGCTTAAGCTATTTGAGAGGGTGTAACTTAAATATTTAAATCCTTCAACACCGTCCCCTCACGTGTGTCCTTCTTTTGGTCCAACGCATGTTTCGATTTTAAATTATTAAGGTGACGGTGAGGTTTGAGGTTTGAACTCGAGACCTTTGGCTCTGATATCATGTTAAAAACCATCTACTCTCAAAGCTTAGGCTTTTAGAGAGGGTGTAACTTAAATACTTAAATCCTTCAAGCTTTTAGAGAGGCTTAGCTGTTCAAAATTGGAGTTCATTTGCCTACAGATTGTGGATTTTTATTACTGAAAATAGCAAACAATTTGGAACTTCTCCATGACTGGTGGTTGCAAGCATATTGGTACCACAATCCCATTCTCATCTTCTTTAGAGTGGCACATAGAAGCTAAGCAAAGAAAGGGCTCTAGCAGGGCCAGCATATACCGGCTTTCCCCATCCAAAATCAAGCTTCTCAAACCCTAGTCGTGTTGTATCCGATATCATATAATTCCTAGCCACCGTATATGAGGGTCGTCCCTTGATCACCATAAGAGGTCTGCCACTGACCTTATGTACTCTTCACTCATCTCAGCCTTTGCCGACTTTTCCAACTCCACAGCATACCATACTGGCTTTCTAGACAGCATTTCAGAGGTTGAAACTGCTGCTGGGTAGGCACATCCATTGCCACAGAGATTATTATATGTGAATTATGGTAATGAGCTTGCATTTGCTTGGAGTACGCAGCCCAGAGAAATCATATAGTATACACTGTGAATTACATGCTAATAATTGATGTTCAACCAAATCTAGGATCTTAGTGAGTCAGATTTTCATCTAATATGTGACTGCCAACTATAATATGCTAATAATTGATGTCTATATTTTCATCTTGTTTGTAATATGTTACTACCAAGTGTAATATGCTAATAATCGATATTCATATTTTCATCTTGTTTGTAATATGTTACTACCAAATGTAATGAAAAATGCTTTAGTATAAGTTTTTATAAACAGTGTAGTCACAATAAAGTAAAGGAAGTTTTCGAGGAAAAAAAAAAAAAAAAAAAAACTGACCTTTATATATTATGAGTTGAGTTAGTTAAACTAAGAATTTGTAATAAAAATTTCAAATATCAGCATAAACTTAGTAAGTAGATTTTTAACTACTTAATTTGTGGATTATTTATTTATTTATTGAAAATTCACAAAAAGCTATGTAGGTACATTTTCAGGACGGTCATGATAAAAGCTTTGTGTGAGTGTTACATGCATGCTTGTCTATAAATTTTTTTGGGCACAATTTCTCATGATTCGTATACTCTCTCTCTTCTGTTACTTTGTCTTTGCCGTGTAAGCATCAGTTAGCAGCAAGACTTGCTGCATCAGTAGGAGCATGTGTTGAAGTTAAAGTGTCTGATGAGCAGCTGGCTCTATTTCTTTCCAATCCCTGATGTATTTGAAGTTAACTTTTCATTTTAAAATTGCTCTTTATATATATATATTAGATTTGGATTTTTGTATTCGTCAATAACCGTTATAGTTTCACTGTCTTTAAATAGGATCATCTATATGGTGCACCTGATAGGCCTGTTTCCACAGGCCTATTATTTTTGTATCTTTTGATTGATCAGGGCAGATTCGTGGTGTATAATCCAGAACGTCAACATATTGCGCTTCAAACTGGGGAAGTAATTTGGAGAACTTGCTAAAGTACTAGACTAGCAAATCCTTAAGGCTATGATGAGATTAATTTTAAGTTTGTGCTGCTGTTTATCTTTTATACCTACATCCGTGATTTGATAAATTTTTTACGTATCAGCTGTGGATGTCCTAGCCCTAGGATAGCTGACCATGGTCTCTCTCTTAGAGACCACTTCATGCATTATAAGAAAAGGAAAATCCAATATTCATATGGATGAGGAATCCCCTCAAAGCAAAGCGAAGCAAATATAAGAATTAACAATGAAGACTTCTACTTGGAAGGGAAATGGTAGAACATGAACCCAACCTCAAGACATGTTAGGAAGAGTAGAGCGGTCTTTTAAAAGCATGCATGGTTCTATACAGAAATGCTTGCTGCAGAAACAATTGTTTATCAGAAGGGAAAGACCTTAGGGGTATAAGATGCAATGCTTCAGATATAGGTGGCTGGGTAGATGGATAGACGCGACATGACATTGAGCTGGGCTTTAATAGGTTTGGAGTGGGCTATAAGGGTGCTGCATTAGGGGGATATTTAAGTAAGGAAATGAATATGGTCTATAATTGTTATGCTAGGGCCAGCTGCAATGTCCTATTATCAGAGGTGAGAGGAAATATGGTCTTACTAACTATGGATGAGAAGGGCGCACCCAAAGAAACTTTTTTATATTTTATTATACTTTGTCAAATTTCTGGCTAAAATACCTAGGGGGAAAAAAAAAGTTCTAGCTAAAATGGATGTGGAAGAAAGCATGACGTTTTCCAGTCCTTGGGAAAAAAGGTCTATTGTCAAGAAAATGAAGGAAACAGTGGACCAGAGCAAAGAGCCTGGGTAACTGTTGAGAGCAAAGAGCCTGGGTAACTGTTGAGAGCAAAGAGCCTGGGTAACTGTTGAGGGCAAATAACTTGGCATTAATTCGAGTAAGTTAGGGGGCGGTCAACTTATTTAATTAGAAGAGGAAGATGGTAATGATCTTTTATCCTGAGACATGGGGTTGCTGTTTGAGGAGTCAGGTGTTTGATATCTAATGGATCATATATACTGTAAATCTTTACCTGTGTTCAGTGCGACTGAAGGCATTAAAGAGTTGCTCATAATAGGCAGGAAGGCCGGATTCTTCAGGAGCAGTAGCTTAGATTATGGGTAGAATTAAGGCTGTAAGCAATTTTTTGGGTGTTTCACACAAGGGGGGTTTGGGGATGAATCTTTATCTTGACATTAATTTTGGATGGAGATGGAAGGGAAGAAGGATATGTGTTGGGTTCAGTTGGAAATGTGAAAGAGAGTTGTGGAAGCAATTTTGGATGGAGATGGAAGGGAAGAAGGATATGGTGGGTTCAGTTGGAAATGTGGAAGAGAGTTGTGGAAGCGCTATAGTTCCATAAATTATGATGTGAGCCAAGGGGTAGGTAGAGGTCTTTTGTTGTGGGTCAGTGGGGGTGAAGCCTCTTGACCTAGGTGGTCAGGTTATAGTTCCATAAATTATGATGTGAGCCAAGGGGTAGGTAGAGGTCTTTTGTTGTGGGTCAGTGGGGGTGAAGCCTCTTGACCTAGGTGGTCAGGTTATTTATCTTCTCTGTTTTTAGTATTTTTTCGGTGAGGTTATCTGTTTCTTGTTAAAATGGCCATTTGGTACGTATA